TAAACATTTTCGAAAAGAAACATAAAACAACTGGAAAATGTGCAACATTTTAAAATTTTTTTTACTTAACAATCAAACGTTCTCTGAAACTAAAACACATATCATTTTATAGCTAAGGTGTTGTAGAATGGCATATCTCTCAGCTCTATTGAACATTTCTATGAAAAACTGTGATTTTTTCAATATATGGTACTTTTCGCTACTATTAAAATAAAATGCTTATAACTCTTGAAGGATTGAACGAGAGCACGAATGGTTTTCAGATTCGTAATCAGCATCCTTAAATTAGCAAAGTGGGATACCATTGCTTTGAAATCCCAGGGAAACACCTGGGGCCCTTCCCTCGTAAGACAGAGCATTTTATTTACTTGGAATATTATCCAAAATTATTGTCGAACATAGAAGTTTTAAATTTGTTTATTCTAGGCCACAACAAGTTGGAAAACCTACAAATGCTACCGATGTTCATCATCATGGTCATGCCTCATCAACAGTGCCCGTTTCGTCCACCCAGGTCACAAAGCCGTCACTACCACAAACATTAAATACAACTCAAGCTACTGCAACAAAACTACAACAGCAAATAAAACCCGCGACGAAACAAACGGTTCCTACTGGAGGCGTACTCAAAAAATAAGAGAGAATGAATGTATTGGTCTGATATGTAATGATGGTCTAGTCATAATTGCATGCGCACATGATTGTTCAATCTAAAACATCTCACTTTTAAGTGCATTTTTTTTCTTTATCTTTTTTATGAGCAGTGATTTTTAAAATTATTCTATTTTATTTAAACAACCTATTAATTTTTTTATTGTTATTGCCTATTTCAGTTTTATTCCTAGTTGTGTGTGTATGTTTACATAAAAAAATGTGATGTGTTATTTGGTTCATAGTAGTTTATTTATTTCTGTTATGTTTTCCGTTTTTATGCACCGTAAAAGTAAAAGAATATAGGTGAAATACGGCGAAGCCTCATTCATCACTTTTCAACAACCCATAATACAACAAGAAAATATTTATTTTGCACAGAGTTCCATTCATCAAAATGCATGTTCTGGTACTTCGAAGTGTCGGAGTGTGTCAGAGGTTCGCTCCGAACGTGTTTTCCTGGTACAAAAAGCGATTTTACTAAAATCGATAAAAGAAAAGGAAATTTCCACTTTGTCACTGGAAAAGAACTATTAAACTTTCTCTCTGGTCGGATGTAACGAGAGAAGTATTTTCTTTTAAGATAAAACAAAGCTGATCTGAGAATCATTTTATGAAAATTTCCTAAATACCCTGAAAACTGCAGTTTGAAACCGACAACTTTAATAAAGCTAATAAAACAAGAAAAAGTCTCTCGTACCCGTTTACAATTATGGCGAGTTTTAAATATGGCCAGTTAATAGAAATTGTTAAAGAATACAAAATGATGTTCTTCTCTCATTATATATCGTATAAGGGACTAAATCGAAAAACTATGTTACGAGTTGGAAAATGATGAAGAGTAACGCTTCGCAGTATTTCATCTCTATTCTTTTACTTTTATAGTACATAAAAAAAATGTTCAATATGATTTTTGTAGAGAATTAAACGAAGAATTATTTACAAAACAAATCAGCTCAAAGGACTGATCAGATGTCGAGATATAAGCAAAATACTAAGGGAGTCATTATTCCTGATTCACCCGTTTTACATGCAGTTGAATGATCGTGTACACAATAAATAGTGTTGTAACGGAAGAACTGAGTATTGAACGAATAGTTCAATATAATTTCTATATTTTACAGTACGTTTTGATACTTCTAGAATGTTTCATCATCTGGTAGCTAGACGCTACCTATCAATAGGCAGATTGGAAAGTTCAGCAATGCAACAAAAAATAATTATGAGTACTCGTTTACGTATGGTCGAATAAGTTCTGATGATTAAGAACTCATGAACTAAAAGCTTCAAATGGGTGAGTACTTACTCTTTATTCAGTTAATTTGGGGACTGTATATGGGACGCTCTTTAGAACGGGTGAACCAGAGAAAATTGAGAATTTTTGTAAAATTTACTTATAGAAAAGAAAAGTTTGTTTGAATGCGGGAAGGGGAACATAGAGAATTTTGCGTAGATCTTAAAATCATATTTTTCTTCGATTGCAGTATAAAAAGAATTGAAAGCCGCAAAAAGCTTACCTGTTCAACGGGAAAGTCAGAAAATTTTCAAAACAAGTTTTTGTCTTATCAGTTGCAGTAATAAAAGATGCAAAATTTTTCGGTGAATCTAACGCATTTGTTCCTGCTTTTCAATATTCAAGGCGACACTTTTTCTTTTGGCGTTTTTTTACTTTCTTCGTCTATGAATACCGTTGTTCCAATATAGACAGATGCAGAATTTTAAATTCTACAAGCTATCATTCTTTTCATGGACTGACACAGTTAGATGACAAATGAAGAAGTATTTTTTGATGGAGTATATTTTCTTAACGAGTGAAATAAAGGTGCTGAAAGCTGATGAAGAGACATATTTTGTTAGTGGCTTTTGTCTACTATAACTGAAATGTTCGTAAAATTTTCTAAGGTGCGCGTAATGCAAAAGTTGAGAAAAATCATTTTTTCAATTTCCTATACATCATTCGATAGAGTCTTTCGAGCCGATTACGAAAATGTACCTTAAAATGTTTCAAAAGCTGATTTTCATGTTGAAAAAAAAGGAGAGATTATGCGTAGAAACAGGTTGAGGTAGTTTGATCATGTGAATAGAGCTGAAAATGATAAGACCGAACCGATGTTATTCAAGAAACTTACGTCCTCATATTTTCATGATGAAAAGAGGCCTCAAAATGTTGGAATTCGAAAACGTTGCACAGTGGGCATTTAGGCGGCGTTTTCTGAAAAAATCGTAGGTGCGAATTTTTTTGTTTTGAATAGTGGTGTATATAGTATAAACAATTCCCTATTTAATGATAAAAAAATTTTTGT